CTTCACACATTTTCCCCCTCTTACTGCAACCTTCTTGAATCTTAATTTTGTATAACTTATAACGAGCTCTGAGGACTAGTGGGTAAGGAGTTCTATTGCCAACCCCTTTAAAGGTACATGGTTTGAATCTACCAGATGTTCTGTGGAAGAGAACGATGACTACTCTCATGCTGTGCAAATTACACCATCTGAAAATTCACTGGAGAGTCAGATGTGAGTTGGTTCCAACTCCACGGCAATGAGTTTTGTGTATCCTGTGTTATTATATGCAATCCAGTCACCTACTACTCATCACGACCCTTTGAACAGTAGCTCTGAACCGTGCCCTATATTGAGCCAATCTTACTGTATGTGACATACCTCTGACACAGTCACTGTGCAAATTCACCTCATCCAGGGCCCTTCTCCCTTGCACTAACCCTTCACCTTTCCAAGCATCATGTCCTTCTCTAAGGACCAGTCTCTCCTGGCAACATACCCAAACTACATGAGATAGAGTTTCAAAATTCTTGCCTCCAAGGAGCAACCTGGTTTCATAATCTCTAAGACAGACCTGTTTATTTTCTTAGCAATCCGTGGTATATGTTCAAGATTCTTCTTCAGTACCACAACTCAGACATCGAGTCTTTTTCTGTCATCCTTAATTACTGTCCACCTCTTTGATGCATATCAAGTAATTGACAAGACCATGACCTAGGTCAGGCACACCTTAGTCTTGAGACTAACATCACTGTTCTTCAGCACTCTAGAGAAGTCACTGACAACAGGCTTTCCAAGTGCAATTCATCTTTTGATTTCCTGACTGCTGTTGCCATGAGTGTTTCTTGTTCACGTCCCTTATTATTACATACCGTCTAGTTGCCTGTGACTCATAACAACCCGATGCACAATAGCTATGAACCCTGCACTATCCTAAGCCAGTCTCACTGTCTCTAACACACATAACCCCATTGTCTCAGTTACTGACTCAGTCCATCTCACCCAGGATCTTCCCCTCTTGTGCTGTCCCTCTACCCTTCCAAGCAGGATGTCCTTCTGACACGTGCCCATAGTATCTGAGACAGAGCTTCAGAATCCTCACCTCTATGGAACCAATTGATTTTACCCTTTTCAGGACAAACCTTTGCAGTCCATTGAATGTTCAACACTCTTCTGCAGTACCACAACTCAAAGGCATCGATCCTTCTATCATCCTTAGTCATTGTCCAGCTCTCTGATGCATAGCAAGTAATTGCATAGACCATAGCCTGTATACCAGAAGAGTGTTTATTTGTGCTTCATTGACTGTGCAAAGGCTTTTGACTGTGTGGATCACAACAAGCTATGGCTGACTCTGAGAAGAATAGGAATCCCAAAACACTTGGTTATGCTAATGCAAAACCTATACTTGGACCAAGAGGTAGTCGTCAGAACAGAGCAGGGAGACACTGGATAGTTAAAAATCAAGAAAGGGGTCCATCAGGGATGTATTTTGTCTCCATCCCTTTTCAATCTGTATGCAGAACAGATCATCCAAGACGCTGGGCTGTACGAGGAGGAATGTGGCATCAGGATTGGTGGAAGAATCATCAACAACCTGCGTCATGCAGCTGACACAACCCTGCTTGCTGAAATTTAAAAGGACCTGAAGCACTCGCTGCAGAAGGTCAAGGACTGCAGTCTTCAATATGGATTGAAGCTCAACATCAAGAAAACAAAGATTCTCACCACTGGGCCAATTGGCAGCACCAGTATGGCTGGTGAATAGATTGAGATAGTTAACAATTTTAGTTTGCTGGCTCCATAATCAGCAGTCTTGGTAACAGCAGCCAGGAAATCAGGAGATGAATTGCATTGTGAGGACCCTCTCAAGAGTACTGAAGGGCAATGATGTCAGGCTGGAGACTAAGGTGTGCCTGATCTAGGCTATAGTCTTTGCGATTACATGCTATGCATTGGAGAGTTGGACAGTGAATAGGGATGATAGAAAGAGAATTGATGCCTTTGAGCTGTGGTGCTGGAGAAAAGTGTTGAATATACCATGGACTGCTAGGAGAACAAACAGATTTGTCTTGGAGAGGGTGAAGCCAGAATGCTCCTTGGAGTCAAGGATTCTGAAGCTTCGTCTGACCTACTTTGGGCACATTGCCAGGAGGGACTGGTCCTTGGAGAGGGACATCATGTTTGGCAGAGTGGAGGGACGGCGCAGGAGAGGAAGACCCTCGATGAGATGGATCGATTTTGTGAATGGAGTGGTGGGAATGAGTGTGTTTGAGACAGCAAGGTTGGCACAGGATAGAGCGGTGTTTAGGGCTCTTGTACATAGAGTCGCTATGAGTTGCAAATGACTCAATGGCACATAGCAATAAACAACAACATAGCCTGGATCAGATGCGCCTTAGTCTCTAGGCTGACATTACTGCTCTTTAGCCGTCTGGAGATGTCTCTAATAGCAGATATTCCCAATGCAACTAGTTGGGTTTTTTTGGTTTTGGTGTTGGTTTGTTGTTGGGTTGGGTTTTTTTTAATTTTCTAACTACTAGTGTCAAGAGTTCACTAGGCCAACTGATCTCTCTCTATGCTGTTGTTCTTAAGTGCTGTCGCGTCATAGGTGACTCATAGCGACCCTATGAATGAAAGACCTGGACACTTTTATAACTTTCATCCTTTCTCCAGGTTCATAGGGTTTTTGGAGACAAGCTGTTTTGGAAATGGATGACACTCCTGCTTCCAAACTTGTTTTAATCGGGGAACTCCACCAAGCACTGCCCATTATGGATAACCAGTCTCTTATTTGACACATCAGTGTCACAGTGTTAAGCTTCATAGCAACCATGAGTTACCTCTGTAGAGCAAGTGGACAGACCAGGACTATACGATCTAGAAGAATGTTTGACCAAAACCAATTGAAAACAGGCCTGAGGACCGCAGAGTAGAGTCACCCACCTTTGGCTTAGTAGAATCACTTTCTGTCCACTGGGCCTACTGATCTCTCTCTTTACTGTTGTTGTTATTAAGTGCCATCGTGTTGTAGGCGTCTCATAGCGACCTTGTGAATGAAAGACCTGGACATTTGTATAACTTTAATAATTTCTCCAGGTTGATAGGGTTTTTGGAGGCTTCCTATTTCAAAAGTGGATGACATTCCTGCTTCCAAGCTTGTTTTAATCGGGGAGCTCCACCAAACACTGTCCACCATGGGTAACCATTCTTGCATTTGACACATAGCTATAAGTCGCCTACAACTCGATGGCCCTTAACTACAACAACAATGTCAAGAGTGTTGTTGTGAATCCAAATAAGCTGAAACTGTTAACAATTTCAATCTCTTCTTTATGTATCATGATGTTGCCAGTTGGTCCAGTAGTAAATATCTTTGTTTTCTTGATGTTGAACTTCACTCCATGTTTAAGACTGCAGTCTTGGACCTTCTGCAGCAAGTGCTTCAGGCCCTCTTCATTTTCTGCACTCAAGGTTGTGGCACCTGCATATTGTAGGTTGTTGATGATTCTTCCTCCAATCCTGATGCCATATTACTCCTCATAGAGCCCAGGCTCCTGAATGATCTGTTTCACATATAAATTGACAAGATGCATTCCTGAAGTGCTCCTTTCCTGATTTTTAACCATGCAGTGTTTCCTTGCTCTGTTCTTGCTGACTGCTTCCTGGTCCAAGTATGGTCCAAGGTTTCACATGAGCACAATCAGATGTTCTGGAATTCCCATTGTTCTCAAAGTTAACCAGTTTTCTGTGATCCACACAGTCAAATACCTTTTCATAGTCAATGAAGCACACAAACATTCTTCTTAGACTCTATGCCTTCTCCCAAGATCCATCTGACATTGGCTATAACGTCCCTAGTGCCATGCTCTCTTCTAAACCCAAAGTTCTCTGTCAATGTACTGTTCCAACCTTTTTTGGGATAATCTTCAGCAGTATTTTGCTTGCGTGTAAGATTAGTGCAATTGTTCGATGATTTCCATGCTCTGTAGGATCAGTTTTTTTTTTTTTAAATAGGGATAAATATAGGTCTCTTCCATTCAATTGGCCAGTGAGCTGTCCTCCAGTTTGCCTCAAACAGCCTATAGTAGTCCCTTAAAAAGTGCTGCCATGAAAAAAAACAAGGAACAACTACATCTGCTTGGAAAGCGGAAGCAGGAGATAGATGAGATTGAGTTTGATAGAATTTGGGGCTTTTAGTCAAAAGAGATAGAAATGCAGTGCTTTCTAGGCAGAGCGAAGTGGGTAAGGATGCAAGATGGTATGTGGCGATTCCTACTTATGGAGCAGGTGGATAGCCTATCCAGGATTGTGAGGATTGTACAGGATAGGACTAGGTTCAAATCTTTCTTTGTAGGTTCACTCTGAGTTAGACTTAACTATATGATGCTTAACAACAATATTTCGGTCACAGACTTTCTACCCACTAAGGGTGCAGGGTAATGAAACAGAAGGATGACTAATAAGGAGTCCGTGCTTATGAATGAGGAACTTTCATTCATTCACACATATGAGGCACTATTTTGAGAACTTGGGATACAGAGAAAGAATAAGACAAACCTGTCTCAGCTCTCCTGAAATACACAATTATATGGAGTAAAAGTTGTCCAAGTATGGTAGTAGGGGCTTCTGACCTCTACCCTGGTGGGTGAAGGTGAGGGTAAAGGAATGATGGTGAGGGGAGGACGGAGTGGTGAAGAAGGGCTTCCTGGTGGTGGTAATGTCTGATTCAGGCTTTGAAAAGTGAATAGGAGTTTTCAAGGACGATAGGGAGCTAAGAAAGGGCAGGAATATAATCTAAAGATAATTCAAGAAACCTACTAGTCTTGCCCTCTGAGACCCAGCACACTATGGCAGTCTGGTCACCAAATGAGCATTTTTCTGTCTGTAAGTAAAAGATTCTAAATGACAGAATCCTTTGATTGCTTTGAAAGAAAAAGAGAGGGGGATAAAGAAGCCTCCCTCTGTGGCTGCTTTTAGTTGAAAGTCACTCATTCTTCTTCTTTCTGAATGTTTTGTAGAGAAAGTCTGTGATTGCGGTGAGCTTCCTCGCAGCGTTCCTCTTCCTGCTGGTCGTGCGCCTTGTAAATGAAGTGAATTTCCCATTGTTGCTAAACTGCTTCGGACAACCTGGTGCAAAATGGATACCGTTTTCCTACACGTACCGACGCCCCCTTCGGACTCACTACGGCTACATAAATGTGAAGACACAAGAGGTAAGACCTGAGCGGGTTACTTAGGATTAGGAGGGTATCCATGGTAACGGCTTTTCTTTAGGAACAAACTGGTTATTCACCAAACTCACCCTCTCTGGCCCTAAGAGCTTCTTTGAGTCTCAGGCAGCAGCCCCTGTTTGCTCATTCTTAGTCACTGACTGACACATGTCTGAAACCTGCTACCCCCCACATCATATCTTCTGTCTCATTTGGCTCCTGTGGAGGGGAGGAAGCAATTACCTGTTTTCCTATTGCTTCCTGGCATAATGTACACATCTTGCCATTTAGAAGCTCTGATCAGCAGTTACCAGCTGGAGACCTGGCTGGCTTTATTTCCTGGAGGTCATCTAGTTGGGGGACAGCTCTTTATAGAACTTGAGAAAAGCATTTAAACTCTTTAAAACTCTGTAATCCTTAGACCTGGAGCTAGAAAAGGCCAAGCTGATTTTAGAATTCCGAGTGGCTGCAGAGATAATGGGATTTAAAGAGTTTCCAAATTTAAAGGGGTTAACGTCATTTAAATCCTGTAATCACCAGACCTTGAAATCTTTGTAGCCAATTGGTGGCATGGTATAGAGGATAGAGAGTTATTGACAACTATAAAGTACACACGGCGCTAGTGCTTTCACAGGCTAATGTTTGCCTCTTGGAGTGAAATAGACATAATGAGACTCACAAAGTAGGAGAAATGTGTATAAGTGGTTGATAAAATTGGGTGCACTATTTGAAGTGAGTGAGTTGAATATGAAGTTACTCATGGATACCAAGTCCAACTTTGGTTGAAGTTGATGATGACAGAGTAACAGGCCACTACTCACTCATTGCCTTCAAGTTGACTGACTCCTAGCAAGCCTCCTTTGGGTTTCTAAAGATTGGTATATCTTTAAGGGAGGAGGCTGCCCATCATTCTACCAAGATGTATTTGGTAGATTCAAACTACCAGCCTTTCGGCTAGCAGCCTGATGCATTATGCACTATACCGCAGGAAGATGAGTTAAATGTGAAATTCATGTTCATAGATGCAAAGTCTAGGCTCACTTGAAGTTGTCAGTGACAGAGGTACAGGTCACTAGTGTGGCTGTATTGTTGTGGAGAGTTTTGGCTCAGCTCCCATTGAAAGGTCATTTGTGGAAAGATAATAAAAAAGTCACATACTGAAGGCTCCTCCTGTCTTGAGTGTTATTAATAGTATCCTGGTGAGGATGTTGAAAGTTGGTTTGGTCTGACACCTTCTATAGGTGCTATTATGCCTGAGTCATCACTTCGTTAAGGTGATTCTTTGCAAGGGGTTTCTGTATCTGTAAGATTTATAGACTATTGATTATTTATAGCTGAAAAAAAATAAAGGCTCCATTAATAACACATAAATTCTTAGGGACATGGTTGGATGTTTATCCTTTAATTAGCTTTAAACTAAGTTTTTTAAAAGTGTCCTTTGCAAAAATTTGTTGAGTGTCCTATTAAGTTGATTATCTACGTAAAATTGTATCTCTTAGAAAATAGTCTATCTCACAGTTACCTTTTGTTCCTTTTATTTCTGGTTTTCATTTAATATTCTAACTCTTTTGGATTATGTTGATGATTTAACAGGTACCTGTCACAGGTTGAAAATGTAACAATGTGACTAAAATCTCTCGCAAATTGCTCTCATTAGGGATTTCCCACTAAATATCAAACACTCTTTAATTAGTTTTACTGAGTTTGCATTTTTTAGTTTTGGTGGCACAATGGCTACGTACTTGATTGCTAAGATTGGTGGTGTGAACCCACTCCGTGGTTCAGGGAGGAAATAAACTTGATATCTGCATCTAGAAAGATTACAGCCTAGAAAACACTACAGTGCAATAGTGAATTGTGTCACATGAGATTGAGCTAAAAATTGACTTGATAATGCCTAACAACAGTACTGTTAATACTTCCAGAAACACACACTCTGTTTAGAAGAGGCTGTGGCACTAGAGTTATCATTGTAAATGTCGGCTGGATCTTGGCAGAAGACAAAGAGTGCCAGAAGAATATCTTATTTGTGTTTTTATTGACTATACCAAAACATTTGTGTGAATCACAACAGATTGTGGTGAACATTGTGAAGAATGGGAATCCCAGAACACTTGATTGTACTCATGTGAAATCTCTACTTAGACCAGGAAGCAGTCACCTGAACAAAGCCTTGTTTTTTTCCCCCAATTCTTTCAGAGCAGCTTAAACTTCCTCCTTCATCACCATAGGTTCTGGATCATATGTTGTGTCATGAAATTGTTCTGTGATGACACAACCTTGCTTGCTGAAATTGAAGAGGACCTGGGTCAAAGACTATAGCATTAAATATGGATTGAAGCTCAACATAAAAAAAAAAGAGAAAGATTGTCACCCTTGGGCCAATTGGCATCATTATGATAGATGGTGAAGAGATTGAGATTGTTAACAGCTTCAGCTTACTGGGCTATATAATCTACGCTTTTGGTATCAGTAGTCAAGAAATAAAAAGATGAAATACATTGGGAAAATCTGCTGTTAGAGACCTCTCCAGAGTACTGAAGAGTAACAGTGTCAGTCTAGAGATTAAGGTGTGCCTGATCCAGGCCATGGTCTTCACAGTTTCTTGCTATGTAGCAGAAAGCTGTACAATGACTAAAGATGATAGAAGAAGAATTGTTGCCTTTGACTTGTGGTCCTGGAGAAGAGTACTGAATATATCATGGGATGCTGGGAGAACAAACAGGTTCATCCTAGAGAAAGTGAAACCAGGCTGCTCCTTGGAGACAAGGATTTTGAAGTTTTGTCTGACATACATTGGACATGTTGCAAGGCAGGATCAGTCCTTGGAGAGGGACATAAGTCTTGGAAGGGTGGAGGACAACACAGAAGAAGACCCTCAATGAGATATATTAACTCAGTGACTGTGGTAATGGGGGTAATTTCATCAGAGAAAATGAAGTTGGCTCAGGATAGAGCAGGGTTCAGAGCTGTTTTCCATAGGGTTGCTGTAAAGTTCAAGTGACTTTATAATACATAACAACAACAACAACATGGTGGCCTTGTTAGTAGGGAGTCTTTGATGGTTCAAATCCACTGGTAGATCTGATGAAGAAAGATGAGCAGTATCCTCTTATATGATTTACAGCCTCTGAAAGCATGCTGGAGGGTTAGCTAGGAGTTAGCGAGAGCTCATAGGGATAAGATTTTTTAGAAGCTGCCTTTGAAATTCTTTGTATATAGTTTTCTGACACAGCTGCTGTACCAAAAGTTAAAATTAACTTACCAAAAAACATATTTCTTGAGAATAATTATTGTTTTCCAATGCAGGTTAGATTTTCAAGTACATAGATATGGTTTGAGTGCCAGTCTTGACACTTTATTTTCTCTTGCACAAATATCTTAACCACTTTTTAGTCAGTTTTCTTATTTTAACAGAGATAATAAGATCACGTGAAAAGTTATTAAGAAGATTAACTAAGAAAAAAGCATGAGGATACCAGACTCAAACTGATGCTCCGTGAATGACTTTCTTTCCTTTGCTTTGTGTTTACCAGTTGCATCTTGTAGTGTTTTACTTAAGTATTTTAAGTAAGAAAGTACTGTTGTTGTTATGTTGTTATATGCCATCGAGTCACTTGCGACTCATAGCGACCCTATCTTTGTACAACAGCCCTAAACTCTGCTCTGTCCTGTGCCAGTCGCACTGTCTCTGACACTCACATCCTGATTATCCCAGTCACTGAATCAATCCACCTCATAGAGGGCCTTCCCCTCCTGCGCTGTCCCTCCACCCTCCCAAGCATGATGTCCCTCTTCAAGGACCAGTCCATCCTTACAAGAATCCTTGCCTCCAAGGAGCAGCCCGGTTTAACCCTTTCCAGAATGAATCT